TTTAAGGATTTATTTGAGGCATAAGGTAATATAAGCAAGGGGGACAAGTTAGGTTTTAAAATTACCAGGAAGACAAGGTTTGTATGCAGATAGAAATTGTCTGAAATAACCATTTATCACAGAATGTTTTTTTTTATTAATTTCTAACTGTCAACAAGTCAACAGACTCGTACTTAGTAACTTGGGTGAAAATAATTTAGTTACAATAAGAAATGTCTCTTATTTTAATAAAATACCGGGTGTCTCAAAAAGACATATGCACCTTAGTCATCGGTAACTGCCTTGGAAACATGTGGGTTCTTTCTGTCTCTAAATGTCATATTTTTTTAATATTAAATTAGTCATAGAAATATTTGGAATAATACATTTTGTAAGAAAAAACAAATTAATATCTTACCTTAATTTTTACAAGCAACAGCATTTATTGAAGCTGCAGTTCCACAGGCTATTTCAGAAATATGTTACATCTTCAAATTTTTTGTTAGTATCTTTATTCTTTAACAATAATATTTTCAAAATTATTCCTTGTTTTTTTTATAATCTCATTCTTGTAATTCTGTGAAAAAATTGCTTCTTCTGGCTCTGGACTGTATGGTCAAGGTATTAGCAAGAGTAAGCTTAAGTTTAGAGAGAGCATGTATTAGTTATGTGTTGTTGCTAAACCATCAGAATAAGAACAGTATAACATGTTTTGTGTAGTCTTCTAAAAATTCGGGAAGCCTGCTGTTGTTCATGGTTTACATTGTTAAGACAGAACTTGAATGTTTTCATTTATTTATGATTGATCAAATGGTTCCTTTACTTTGTGTTAAAACTGTTTGATTGTGAAAGCAAATTATATCTTGCTTTTGGTCAGCTTCAGTCTCTTTTTGACCATGCTCCTACAGAGAAATGTGGAGTCCAAACAAGCATTTTAATTTAAAATATAGAAAAATCATGAAAATGTATGCTTTCTTACAGCTTCCTTAAAGTAGCCCATATTTTAAATTTGAGTCCAACATTAACTAATTTATCTAATATCTTTAAAAGAAGATATTAGGTTCAACAGTACGTATCCCACAGTTTAGATTTATAAATCATATTTTGAGTCCTGTGTGCTCCAAAGTAATATTATATATTACCCTGTTCTCCAAGCTTCAATAATTTCACTTGCCTAGATTTTCAGCAAGAGGGAAATATATGTATCGTGTTGTTTAACTTTCTGTAGAAAAAAAACATTTCCCAACAGATGGCTCTGCATAAGTTTCTAAAGATGTAAATTGAATTAATGTTATGGTCATGCTTAAAAACTTGCTGGCTTTTGACTACATAAGAGCTGTGTCCTTGGTGAAGCAGATACAATAACATTGTTTGTAAGCCAACAATCCTTGTACACTTCAAGCTGCTAAAGCTTTCTGATACTTTATTTTGATGTGATATATGTTGAAGAAAATTGCATCAGTTCTTATTTTGTCCAAGTATTATTGACGACAGAACAATAAAATGTGTTCGATGTTCAGAAAACGGTGCTACCTAGAGGAGTTACTTATGTGTTCCACTGATGTAAATAAATACATATCTTCATATAAGTCAAGCTGTTACCTTTTAAAAGGTAAGGAGGTGTATATAGATTGTAGTGCTTCATTTAGTAGAATTAACTTATGTATATTTAGTTGTACCATCAGCATTAGCATGCTGATGACCACAAAAGCCAGTGCAGTCATTTTTTTAGGTTTTTTTTGCTATGAGTTCTTAAGAATAAGAGTTATTTACTAACAGGAGAACTGAAAAGTAGTGTGACTCACAGTGAATGACTTTAACATAACAGCCTCCACACTTCCGTCTGACACTTCAGGACAAAATACTATTTTAGAAAACTACTAATGTTTTTCCAGTGAGTATATACAAACTAATACATTCCCTTGAATTTGTTTATCTAATGAAGGGAGTTTGCCTGGAGAGATCCAGAATTGCCTGAAGTCATTCACATGCTTCAACACCAGTTTCCATCAGTTCAAGCAAATGCAGCAGCCTACCTTCAGCACCTGTGCTTTGGAGATAACAAAGTAAAAACGGAGGTACAATACTGAAGTTGTTTCTGTTCATTTGATAAACTGTAAACAAAGAGAAACTAGATAGGTAGCCTTTTATTTTGATTTTTTTTCATTGTAAAAACTGACTAACCCTGGAATGTACACCCTTTCAAGAATGTGTTCATACTAAAGACATGCTAATTCTTAGATATGTTAACATTTTACAACATAACATACAGTCAAAATCATTGGTTAAAGTGTGCAGTACCACAAATATTTTCAATATTTAAAACTATATATGACTTTCTTAAAGTTGGCTTTATAAAATATGTATTTAATGCGGTAATAAAAACTACTTACTTATTGATAATTGGATTTTATAAAAATCCACATAGACTCTCCACTGTTTTAATGAATTAAAAAAATAAAGTTGTGGTGAGTTATGAACAGCTAATGAAAACAGAATAAATAAATCCCAGTCCATGAATATTTATGTGACTGTAGGCAGGGTTTCTGCCAGGTTGATAGGGAGGAGAGAGATAAGTGAGGAAGAATATAATCTTAACTGCTACTGGCTATTGTTCTACTCCTTTTACAAAGCAACAGTAAATCCATTGATGTTCAAGAAACCTGTCACATTGTATCCATCTCTCCTGACCATCTTACTCACCATTTCCCTGATGTTGTGTTATGTACTTTGATAAAATATTTAGCAGAAAAAAGACATCATCATCAAAAAATTCCCACCCAGCTTTAATCGCCATCAAGGGTTTGTGTGGTACACAATGTTGGAGTGTGTTATCTTTCATCCTGAAATTTCATACATTTACAAGCATTTCTTTAATCTTAAAACTACTTAATCAAGCAGACAGATTTAAAATTAGTTACTCCCACATCACCTAAGCAATTCTAACAGTATCTGTGAACAAAGCCCAGAAGTAGCAAAAATGTACATTTACCCTATTCTTGCATATAAACCACATCTTTCCACCCAAAACCAGCTGGGGAAAATTGGGGTGTGCATTATGTATGAGGAAAAGGGGTTCCCCATGAGTCCAGAAGCTGGATGGGGAAGAGGCAAAGCAGTGGTAGCATTAATTGCCATGGCTCTGGGAGCCACTGCAATTTAACACTGCCACTGCTCCTTCCCTCCACCCCTCCCTGCCAGACCTGTGAGGAACCCCACCTCCTCAACTGTCCTGGGTCAAACTGATATGTGAGGTTGGCATACAAGTGGACTTGGCATGCCAGGTCTGATCTGGCACACGGCTCCAGAGCTGATTTGCCAGGTCTGACCCCACATGCTACCTCCAGAGCCACATGCCAGGTCTGACTCTGTATGTTATCTCTGGGGCTGTGCACCAAGCCTGGGACCATGTCCTGGCTCTGGAGCCATAAGCCAGGTCTGATCCAGACTTGACACAGAGTCCAGGGCTTTTTTTCTTCCTTCAGGCTCCCCATCAAAATAAAGAGGCATACTATATCTACGGGTGTACAACACATGAAAAAATACAATAAAAACACCAAGACACATATCTGTGGAAAAACGAGGCTGCTGACAACAGAATTTTGAGTGGAGAATTTTATTTTTTGTATCCATCAATATGAATTGAGATCCATTTCATGCAAGCATAGCTTCCTATAATGTACTGGCAGGAAGGAGAAAAAACTAATGATGTAAAAAATAAAAATAAAGATTTTTTTCTCAACATAATACATCTATCTTTTTGAAAATAAATCTATTGAAAATTGACGATATAAATACTTAAATTTGTTACATTAAGTGGCATTGTCTAAGGTAATAAATATGTAAAAATTAAGAATAAAAAAACATATATTAAACAACATAATTGCTTCAGTAGAGGAATCCAGTACATCTTCCAAGCAAGCAAAAAGAAGCAGATAAAGTGCAAAGGGGTGGGCAAATTATGGCCCATGAGCCAGAACCGGCCTGCAGGGTGCAACTACCAATGGATTGGATCTGGCCTGCAGCTGCTTCTGTGGAGCTCTGCATGGGGCTGAGCCCTGCCCTGCAGCAGGTAGGGCTTCATACCGCCTGTGCCCATTGGTACCAGTCCTGGCTGGTGCACACAACTTACTGTTGGGGCTGCTTCCGGTGCAGTTGCAGCTGCCCAGGTGCTGCTCAGTTCCCCTTGCCTCTAGCAGTGTCTCTTCCTGCTCATGCTCCTGCCCCTGCTGTTCTGCTGTGGGCAGGGTGGGGAAGCTTTAACTTGGCAGCTTTTGCCCCAAGGCCACCTGGCTGAAGCTGGTCTAATGGCAGAACCTGATCTAAGATTTGCTTTCCCGGACCCTCCCCCCTACCAAAGGGCAAATGTACATTTTGTTCACTACCTATCTAAGCTATGCCCCTTACAGAAAACTGCATAACATAGATCAATTCCACCTCAAGCTTTTTGAATGTCTATAACTAGCCAGTGAGTGCCCCCCAGCCACTTAGAAACTGGACAGAGCTGACATAAAGACAAACTTTTCTTTATAAAATAACTAAAAAATACAAATAAAAAACAAGAATTAAATCCATTATTTTGACCAGGGTTTCATATAGAATGATAGAAAATTAGGGTTGGGAGGGACCTCAGGAGGTCATCTAGCCCAACATCTTGCTTAATATAGCATCCCAGCCAAAATATATCTTCCTAGTTTCCTGCTTATTGTTTTAAATCAGGGGTGTAAAATTCATCCAGCCTTGAGGGATAATGTGGGCCAGATGTGGTTTGGAAGGTAGATCTGTAGGCCAGACTGGGACCCACCCTCTGCAGCACCTGCAGTGCGGGGTCCAGCATGTGCTGGCCCTGGGGCTTACTGTGCATGCGGTGTGTGGGGCTGGGACAGGACCTGTGTTGTCTGCAGCATGCAAGCTGGACATGGTGCTGCAGGCAGCACAGAAGATCGATCCAGGGTGCTGCATGCAGCCTACAGCCCAGACTCAATATGCCACATGCAGTGCCAAATGAAGCCTATGGGCCCTATATTGGACATCTCTGTTTTCAATCATGCTAATTAAATCAATCCACATTGCTGCACTGAGAGCATAGAGCGTTGACTCTTTCATAGCAGCCAATTCAAGGACTGGTGAAAGTTACAAGAAAAGAAACAATATTTTCCTCAAAAAATTTTCCCTGAAAACAACTGATTTCAGAAATGCTTATAATTTCCTATGATTATTAGCTCAATTAATGATGATCCCTAATGTCCCTAAATTTAATAACTCTTTGTTCTATACTGTTTCCTCTGGGTATGTCACTGCTCCATGCTTGAGCCCAGAATGTTCTTTTTCACTAAAACTCTTGAACATAAAATGTGATTATGCCTGTAGTGGCAAGAGGAAAAAATGAAAGAAACAAACTCTCTAGCCTTCCTACCTGAAAAAGAATACAGATAAGTGGTTCCCCAGATGGGCAGGGCTGGATCCAGCCAGTAGACCCAATCCAGTGGCCAGGGCAGGTGTAGCAGGGGGCAGCCCAACCCCAGTCTAGCCATACTGTGAAACAGGGCTTGACCCAGCCCCAACACAGCCCTGCAGAAGGAGAGAGGGCATGACCCAGCTCCAGTCCAGCCCCTAGGGAAGAGGAAGTGTGGTCCAACCTCAGAGGAGGAAGTGGGGATGGCTCAGCCCCAACCTGTCTAGCTGGGAGGGAAGTGGGAATGGTCTGGTAGAGGGAAGACCATCTAGGCCTCAAGCTCTGTTGCCTCAAAAATGGCCTGATGGAGGAAAGATAGCATGGCCCAGACCTGCAGGGCAAGGAGAAGGTGGGGGAGAGAAGGGGCCATAGATCAGCCCTGAACCAGCTGCACTGGGGGGAGGGTGCCAGACTGACCCTGTGGAGGGAGAGTTGTGGCCCAGCTCTGACCCAGCATACAGGGCTTGGGATTTTGACAGCAAGGAGGAATGGCATATTAACAGCCGCTCCTCCCCTGCTGCCAAATTTCGTGATCCTTGGGAGCCCTGTGGTCCAGATTCCAAGGCTCTGCAGGCCACATTTGACCCACGGGCCAGAGGTTGAGTACCCATGCCCTAGAGTCTGGGGACAGAAATGGTAGAAGAGCTGTAGAATGTCTTACTGTTCAGAGTATGCACTGTCCAGTATGCACTGGAAGTTGCATTTGCTTTTCATCAAGAATTTGTTTACATGGATTCTGCTGTAGCTGTAAGCAGCTGGTGGGACCTTGTACCCTCTTAACACCAAGGTCATTACAGGCCAGTAGCACTTCCTTCTTACTGCCTCTGGACACTCACAATATTAATTTGTTCCCTCCCTCCCCGCATCCCCAGTTCTTCTCTTCCCTCAGCCTTCCCCCAGGTTTATGAAGTGCACAGTGGCTCTCTAAATGGTTCAGAATAGATTCCTTGATGATCGGTTCCATGATCATTTTAGGTATCTATGTCAGGCTGACTGATCTGTAGTTCCCAGGGTGTTCCTTCTTCATTCTCTTAAAGATGGGCACTATATTTGCCCTTTTCCAGTCATCTAGGACCTCACCCTACTTCCACAAGTCCTCAAAGAGAATAACCAGTGGCTCTGCAATTACCTCAACCAATTTTTTGAATACCCATGGATGCATCCCAACTGGCCCTGCCAACTTGAATACATATAGCTAACCTGTAATCCCTAACTTGTTTTAGCATGCTAAATGGTTTGTCTCCTTCCTTATTTTTACTGCCAACTGCACTTGTCATCTGGTAGCTGCCCCTCTTTGTGAAGACTGACATAAAAAGAACATTAAATATTTCAGCTTTCTCTGTATCATACTATAACAGGATCACACCCCTGATGTTTTCTCTCGCCTGCCTCACCTTTTTGTTATCAACTACTGTATGAAAAAGGAGGCTGCCCCCAAGCTCCAGGTTATGCCGTGGCCCTTCTTTCAAGTAGTTCACCCCTCTTGGACCCTGCAGTTCTCAGCTGTACCCCTTGAAAGCTAAATGAGCCTTCTGGGCCCATCTAGGCCTTAAGTTCTGTTGCCTCAAAAGCTAAACTCATGGCCTCCTTCTTCCTCTCTAGTTGCACCATGCCTCGTAGATGTTACCCATTATCACCTTGTTAGGCTACTTCAAGGTCAACACACCCTTTTTGGGGTGTCCACGTTCCACCTTCGGCCCCTCTTATCTATGTGGGTGCCTCCCAGCCGAGGTCTACTGTGTTAAACCTGGCTTCTATTACCCAGACCTGATCTTGCCTCCTTGGGGCCTTGTCTCTGCCCTTCTTGGGCTTCTGGGCCCCTGACCTTTGTCTCTGCCCCTCTTGGGCTACAACAGCTTGTGCCCTACCCTAGAAGGCTCAAACCTCATGCCTCTCTGGAACCCCAGGACCTCTAGTCCTGTCAGCACCTCAGGCCCAACGCTTAGTAGGGCTCAAAGCAACTATGCTTGGGCAACAATAGGACCTCCTTATCTCCTCTTTTAGTCCTACCCGGTGCACTGGCTTAAATCACAAACCAAAATATAAGCCTTCTGGCTGTAACAAAAGTCTACTCTCACCAGCTGTACCAAACTCTCATTATCCTGCATCCTGGCTCCGTGCAAGCCTTCTCTCCCTTGCTCATAGTCCCCCCCCCCGGCAGCAGTTTCCCTAGCCTTAGGACTGCCACAGTGTTTTGGCTGCAGAGCTCTTCAGCCTCCCAAGATAGACTGCCCTCTTGGGTCAGGGTCTGGGCTTATAATGCCTCCCAAGCCCCATCCCCTTCCGGTCAGGTGCCCTTTTAGCTGGCCTGACCATGGGGCTGTTTCTTAACCCCAGCCTTGCTGGCTACCTTTTCTGGTTCACAAAAACTCATCCTTTAAAGGGATTATTCTATTTCCCCGTAACAGGGTAAGAATTCTCTGTTACACATACATAAGTAGATTGCCTTCTGTATGCCATATGGGGTCTATGGTTTCTCTGGTCTTCCTCTTACTTTTGACATGCTTGTGGAATCCCTTCTTATTGCCTTTTAAGTCCCTTGCCAGCTGCATCTCAAATTGTGTCTTGGCCTTCCTAATTTTTTCCCTGCACACCCATGCAATGTTCTTATACTCTTCACTAGTACTATGAAGATGCTTGTTTTAAAAAATTGCATGTTGCTGTAAATGTAATCTGCAATTCACCTCAAGCTAAGTCTGCTTTGAGAATGATTGTTTGAAAGCTTTTCTTGAAGAAACGTCTAGCAGGCTTGTCAGCCGAGATTTATTCATTTGTAAAAATCTGTTC